TGGACTCTGTGGGGTCACAGACATTGGAAGGGTTCACGCAGCCCAGAGGCAGCTTCCCTGTCTCTGTCGTAAGAACAGAGGTTCCCCATCCTGGCCAACCCCAGGGGCTCTGTAGCCTTTGGGCTGGTCCTGATTTCTCTTTGAACTAGCTCTTGTGTCTGTCACTGAGGGGAGCAAGAGGAAAGCAGAGCCATAGGAGCTTCCTGCCCCTCCGGGGAGCAGAGCAACTAGGGGGCGGGGGGTGCCCGCAGGCCTCTTGGGAACTGGCGCTCTCATGGAAGTGGCCAGGCAGGCACCACAGCCCCGCGAGGCTGACCCTGATTCCAGAGGTTCTCAAGGCCCCTGCCCCTGCGGCGTCTGCTCCCCACACAGATCTGCGAGCATTTGCTGCTCAGCCTCCCAGAGAGGAGAGTTCATTGAAATCCTCCGGAGCAAACAAGCATTGAAAACCCATTCCTCCCAGAGGCTGGAGCATGGCCCGTCGCTTCCCCCCGTGGCTGAGGGAGGCCGCCCAGTGGCCCCAGCTGCCTTGTTTCCCAGTCGAGGCTGAGGCCCCTCCAAGCCCCTCTCCCAGCCCTGCCCCTTCCTGGAGTGGAGGAGGTCATGCCTCACCAGGGCCCATGGTGGCCGCGCCAGGTGTGGTATGTGAGCTGTTAGACCCAGCGAGTACCCTCCCCTGCCAACTCCAGGCCAGCTGTTTGCTGCCTCTCCCAGGTCGGGTGGGCTGTGTAGAGGTGCTGATGGTGAACCTAGACTTGAAGGATGAGGACTCGGCCAGGCTGAAAGGAAGGAAAGTGAGTGGTGGGTGGCCCCAGCCCAGGACTAACACCGTGCCTGTGACCCACCCTTGCGCCACTCTCGTGACCAGGCCCCTCTCTGACTTGGGGCTTACGAGGCACGCTCCCCTTCTGGTGGGAGGACTGCTCCATGCCTCCAGCCCCACAGCCTCTTCTGTGGCAAAGTACCCTAGGCTGCCACCCTCCTGCCCCGTCAGGGCTTGCTTTGTTGCCTGCTCCTTTCTCTTTCATCTGCCCCCACCCCTCCCCATTTACTTGTAAGCCTACCCGCCTTGCCCCGGCCCACCGTGCCACTCATCAGCCCTTGGCAGGATGGCGTCCTCCCTCCATGTCGCCTGGGCTGGTCTGCAGTCGTTCCTCAGCCCCTGACCCTGCTGTGAGGCTCCGGCCTCCTCTGTCCTTGACCTTCAGCCCAGTGTCTGGTTCTCCTTCCACCTTGGACACGCCTTCTCTAAACTTGCCTGCTCTTCTCGGCCATGAAGTATGGGCTCCACTCCCACCCGGGCCCGCTCTGGTCTATTCTGATGGACCTGGCGCCCCTCCTGTGATGCTTTTCAGCATGGCTGCTCTCTGTCCTGATGCTGAATCCCCCCACCTGACCCAGGCACATTTCTGAAGCTCTCTTCTTCCCCGCTCTCTACCTCTTCCTGCCTCCTGGACGAACTTTCCCAGCTCTGCCCTCCCTCTGTGGGCAGCGTGGATAGACACAAGGACACGCCCTGTCTGCTGTCCACTCCCTGGCTGTAGCACAGCTGACCAGGCCCTCAGTGAAGGCTGTGCTCCCTGGACAGGGGACCCTGTAGTGTCTGTAGGGACACTCTGGCCTCCTTGGCCACCACACAGTCCCCTAACCCTTGGCTTTGACAGGTCCTAGCCTGTGGCCCTTCTCTCCTGGGGTGGTTGGATCCATGGCCTGTGCCTCGAGCATCGCCTGTGTGTCGTGTTGACTCCCAAATTGACTTGGCCAGTGCTGCCCCTCAACAGGGTTTCCGAAAGCATCTCAGATACAGTTTGTCCCGAATGAAACTCATTATCCCCCGCTGCAAAAAAATCCCTCTCCGCCTCTGTGCTGCTCTAGAAGTCTGGGAACCCAGCTGCCTCCTCCCCACTGCCCCCATGCCCACGCCCACCAAGTGCCACTCCACTCCTCTCTCCCTAACAGCTCTTACTGCCCCGTCCCCATGGGACCCCGGCTCAATCCCCAGCTGCTCCCTCCTCTGTTCCTGGTGCTCTCAGTCTGACCCTTCCCTGCGGCCTAGGGAACTGGTCATCAAAATCCGAGTCGCTCCGTCTCCCACCGAAATGCACGGTGGCTCCTGCGTGCCCTGGGTGTGGGTGCAGCAAGCTCACTCCCACCCGGTGCCTGTGCACCTGCTGCTCCCGTCTGGGCCGCCCTTCCCCAGACCTTCCTGGAGCTACAGCATTTCTCAGACATTTTTTCCTTAGAAGGGCACCCACAACCGCTCTAGAGAAGCGTTGCCACTCCAGACCCCCTCCCAGCATCCCGCACTGCAGACGCTGCGTGGACTGTCAGGCTCACATGCCCAGGAGCAGGCGCCCAGCTGCCCGGGTCAGCCAGAGCTCTAAACTTACTAGCTGTGTGGCCTTAGGCACGCACTTTCTATGTGCCTCGGTTTCCTCATCTGTACGGTGGTGATGGACATAGTACCCAACCCTTGGGGTGGGTGAAGATGGGGGGCCTTCGTTGTCTGCTGCTGTTCACCTGCTCTCCCTGGGGCCTCACACCCTCTCAGAGGGCGGAGTAAACAAGCAGTGAAGATAGAGGAAGTTGAATGGTGTCCAGGGTCACGAAGAGGAAAGCAGGGAATGAAGGGATCGGAGTCTGTGGGGGGACAGGTGCAATTTTAAATAAGTTCCTTCCCAAGGAAAGCCTCAGTGGAGGCCTGGAGTCAGGGAAGAAGGGCAGGAGCTGTCTTGTGGGGACCGTTCAGGTGAAGGGAACGGCGAGGGCCGAAGGCAGAGCCACTGTCTGTAATGGGGGAGCTTGGGGACAGTGACACACCCGAGGCCACCTGGCTAGGACGGGGCAGGGTTGGGGAGAGAGGGCTGGTGGGAGTCTGTGGGGCTCACGCATATGAACATAAAATAGAGGAGGGTCTGGGTCACCTGTGCTTTGAACAGGCTTCAGTACAGGTTGATGGGGTGCCCTGGGGGGTCTCCCAATAGCAGCCCCTCAAAGCTGATAGTAGGTGGCATCCTCCCAGGTTGACAGCGGCTGCAGGCGTGGTTGGTATTTGCCCACCAATGATGGTTCCCTCTCCCGGCTGCCCCCAGCTGGGCCGTGCACACGGGATGTGGGGGCAGGACCACCTACACCAACCCTAGCACTCGACTGGTTCAGGGAGGCCAGTGCAGTGACTGTGAGGGGCCAGCGATCCGTGGGCCCTCTGGCAGGAGACCTCTGTGCCTCACATCCCCCACTCCTTATAGAGTCCAACTGGAAGGGGTCCAGCCTCGTGTGGAGAGCAGCCTGAGGTAACGGAGGCT